CACTATAGCTGTTACAAACATTACAAGTGCATACAATTGCCAGACAATTTCCTCAATGAAAGTGTGTTTTTTTTCTCAGGACACTTGTAAATGCTTATCAAACTATTATTACTAACGATGTAAAATATTTACTGTGTGGGAAAAAAAAATTTCAGACAAGAAACTCATATAGTAAAACAATCAGCCGATACTTGGAATAACTTTCTTCCAAAATCAAAAGCATTTGCCATAATTACTTGATTAATAAGCTATGCTTTAGGCGTGAAGTGGCTGGGACAATAGCAAGTATTTGTTGAAGCGGAAATATTCAACCATAATTCACTTAAAAAAAGAAAACCCTTGACTCTTGTATAAGTGAAACATCTAATAAACCCCTTCATCATATCATAACATAAATTGCTGTTTTCCGCATAATTATGCCACTTGGTTGCAAAATATGAAAACAACATAAACGAACATTTCGTTCAACTGGCAAACCCACGAACAAACTTGAAACAAGGCATTGCTGGCTCCGTACACAATTAACAAACAATTAAAACTCTCTTTGATCTTGTGACTTTAATGTTTAATTGATTCCGATAAAAGACAATAGGGTTTTATTTCCCGCCTTCAACCGTCAAGGGGAAAAATAAATATTTTGTAGCTCTAATGTTCTACCTTTAATTCCAAGTGGATTCATAGAAAATGAAAAGTAATGTGTAAAAATTACACTCAGTTCTGATAATTGTGTAATCAACTGTAATAATAATTATGAAAAGAAAACTAATAAACGCCGCGCAAAAATAATTTCCAAAATGAAAGGGAATTAATTCATCACAACTGTTTCATCCGGAAATTGTTTAAAACTCTGTTAATTCATTACAACAGACTTAATTTAGGATCTTTTGAAAATAAGGGAATTAGAACTTCATAACCCTAGAATTAAAGAGAAATACCTACAAGTTGAAATACAGGGTTTAATGAATGTTCTAATAAAGTGAAGTTAAGTATATGGGAAGGTTAACATTGTTTTCAGACATATAGCAAAAAAAATATATATAATTGCTACAACAGTTTGAGTTTTCAGAATTTTATATGAAAGATAAAAGTAATATATTTAGGCTGAACTCATTGAACTTTTAAAAATGTATTTCAACTAGGAACTTCCAAAATGATGTATATTTATAGAACTCCATAAAACTCATGGGGTACAAAGCAACTGTTGACTTCTTCGCTTGAAGACACATGGTCAAAATGCATCGGTGACGGAAAGCGAACAAATTTACTCTTCATCCTGGACTTCAAAGTCAGCAGACAAAGTAACATTAAAAATTCACTTTTAACAATGGAAGCTTAAGTGATAAAGACAGACAACTTATCTGTAGTAAAGGTGTTTAAATCACCTTTTTTTTCAGCAAGAAATGGCTGAAAAGCGGAGAGCATTTATGTCAGATTTTATCAGCCATTATATCCAATAGTTCTATCAGGCTAATCATGGAACTGGCGCCTAAATCATTGTTCACCTAACGTGAAATAACTAACAATAGACCTTTCTGTTAAGATAAGCTTATTCCTGACAATTCCCTTCATCACAAAAAACAATTTGACTGTTGTTTGTTTGCGTTCACCAATAAACAGTCTTTGCCTTTTCTTTAAGGCCACACAAAGCTTGAGGATTTTTTGTCTTCATGAATTTGGTAAAAAAATCAGTGAGTATATAAAAACAAATCATAATAAAACTATGCATTGTCTGCTAATTTTTGTTTGTTTGAAATAACAGGTATTTAAAATATAGATAAATGGGAAATACCTAAAAAGAGACTTATTTTAAATTAATTAAAAAAAATAAAATAACTTGCCTCTTAATGGAGTGATTTGAAAATGCAATCAATTTATTGACAGAAATTTTACTGGAAGAAAAACTTTTGCATTCCTTTGAGGACAGACTTTTTAACTGAAACAATTTCACTCACTAAAGAAGAGTATAAGTATAATAGGACAATCTTCTATGTGTGTGTTTAAAAAAAATACATATCTTTGCCTCACAGACTGATTCAGAATACAATGCCTGGGAACAACTGTTGCCCGCCATTTGTTCTGCCAGTCATAAAGGGAGATAATTGATTAACATACTGATTTTGCTAATTTGAGAACAACGGAAAACATGAATAACCATCAGTAAAAATCTTCATTACCGTTGTTGTATGAAGTTCTTGACAACGTGTGACGGCCAATTAGCGCATCGCCACGTTTATCTTTGCTTCGTGTTGAATAATATGACAAACGAGAACAGACCGTCAAAATATGTTGCCGTAGAAAAGTTAAAGGCTCACCATATGATATCTGTATTTTACATTATCATTAGCTCACTTATTATGATTAAAAGATAATGTTGTTGTTTGTCAAAGTTATGACTTGAATGAGAGTTTTTTAGAAAAAGAAAAAACTAACAAAAGATTATTTTGCCACCAAAAATGTTGCAATATAAACAAAATTATTATATTGTTATAACAACAACATACTTACATTTTTTTTTGCCTATAGATAAAAAAAACCCCCAAAAGTTCCAAAAAACCTTAAAGAAATTATTAAGATACCAAAAGGATCTTTTTAAAAAAAATTTGTTCAACACATGTATATGTACCGTTAATTCTATTTTTCTCTAAAAACTCAAACAATTCAAATCATTTTTGCAAATAGAGAGAAAAATATTACCTTTCAGCTTTAATAACACATTAATGTAATATGAATTTTATTTTTTTCTAAAAGTCTAATTTTACATAAAACAAGGATTTTTATAGTTTTCTTTTACAGTGTAATGTGTTTTTTTCTCGGACTAAATCTTATTCAAATTACAGTTGTGTCTGTCTTCAGTTTTTGTTGTTGTTTTATTAAATGAGGAAATTTGCTGCTTGCGGTGTTTAGGGGTCACATGACCTGTTATTGGGAGTGAAACATGCAAGCGTAACAGTGAACGTACTCAAAAATCCCAAACAGACGCGAAAGTGCAATGAGGCGGTAAATGATACACTTACTGGTGCATTGTGGGAAATTATTGTTATTACATACGCTTTCTATGTCTTGTGAATGAATTTTTTGGGGCACGGCAAACAAATTGTTCGCACTTCTGAGAAAACATTGCTGGAGGAAAGTGCTTAGGTTAAGACTTTTGTACGTTCAAAGTCTACATAACATTTTTACTGTATAACATTGTATTAAAGCTGGATTATCTCTGTATATAAGTGTTTTTATTTTAGCCGTCAACATAATTATTAAGTCACTAACTTATAACCACACAGTAAAAACAAACCATTCCTCTTTCTAAAAAAATTCCCTTAATGTGATAGGAACAATTTCTAGGGGGCAAGAATGGTATTTTGTGGGACAAAATATGCATGTACTTAAAAAATGTTAATAACTAAATCCGAGCAATCATATAAAAACAGTTGGAAAAAATATCAAAGCACAATTTCTGACAGAGGCAACGCTTTAACAAATGAGTCTAAGGTTCTTCTAATTAGACACTGTTACTGTACTATACATAGTTTTTTCCTCTGGGAGAAAAATTTCCCACAAAGGGGTCTAAAGTCCTAGTTAACCTAGTACCATAAAACTGCTATCCCATGGTGCTTTATTCTTTCTACCATCAATTTCGTATAATCTTAAAGATTTAACGGGCACTTATGGTTAAGTAGCTAAGAATGTAACAATTTGAATTTATTGCAAAGGCTATGATTTCTTATCTACTGAGAAATTATTCATCTTTTACTGGTCTTTATAATCAGCCATTGAAGAATAAAATCTGGCCATCAGATTAGCTTTGGTTAATGTATTTTTAGAGGCAATTTATCGCAAATCTTTCTTTTATGACAACCAGCAAATTAGAACAAGTGCTTGATAATCAAATTTTACCAGGTTTTCATTTAGATCAGGGTGGCCAGTGGTTGAAAAGTTCAAAGCAGTCCAGCTACCAATCAAACAATTCACAAGGAGCAAGAAATAAAAGATAGAAAATATATGTGATTTTTGCTCAATTTCTTCATAATTTTTCATGCAATTTGAAAAATGATTTTGGGCACCTCAACTCTTGCATCTGACTGGTTAAGTTAAAATATGGATTTGAAATTGACCAATGGTATTATTCCAATGGTAACATGATGACTGCACCAGGTCTTCAATCTTTTTTTCTTTCATTAACAATCATTCTATTAACTTGTCTGCTTTTCTTGCTTTTAACACTTAATACTTGATTTCATGCTTCAAAAGTTTCAACCTTTTCTCTTTTCATCTGCTATATACAGTGCATAATCAACTACCGTGGTAATAAGGAAGCTAGATAGAGAAACGGAAAAAATCAGAGATACAAAGTATCACTTGGGATGCATTCTATTTTTCTTCCTTTCAGAAAACAAAACTCATTGTTGACTGTTTTCTTGGCATAACAAAGTTTCCAAATCCTCTCAACCTTCGACTAACAGCAGGCTTTTCCATCAACTGTAATCCCCTAATGGGCGACTACGACCCTGAGCTGACTGTGGCTTCAAAATCACCCATAATCCTCTAGGAACAATCCCGGAATTACACAAACAACAGTGTGAGATAAACATAGATAATCTCCCACGATTAGGGATAACCTTTTTTATATCTCTTTTGAGAACAAGTTCACATTTTACGAGCATAAAGAGTGCTTGAAATCTTTTATTAGCTGCTTTTTAATGAAAACTTTGCAAGTTCTGAGAAAAAAATAAGTACCTACCTACAACTGTTTTAGTGCACATTTACATTTTGTTATTAACCATTGTCAATGGGTATTTACAATCCATGTTAACATTTATACTGGATAACGAATCAAATATAAAGATGCTTTGAAATAATGTCATTGTGTATTGAATAATTGAAAAATTTGATGAATACTTTAACTCTTGCAAAAAATTAATGGTTCTTGTCAATAAATTTTTGTTATGTTTTAAAGTAATTTTACACATATGTAATTGCTAATTAAGGTGACTTCTGATACATACCTTTATTTTTTGGCTGCTCTGGGCTTGGTGACCTTTCTTCTGAACTCTGAAAATACAAGAATTCCTTTTTTATTATAACATCTGTTTTCTCAAGACAACTTTTACAATCGAGGTCCTTTACAAGGTACATTTTATCGATTATTTTAAGGTTAAAAGTTTGCTAATGTTTTAAGCGGAACAGATTGAATATTCTTTGGCAATTATTTTGACACAACACAGTATACAGCCATAATGATAACTGTTGATTGTTTTTTTAAAAAAATACATGGATATCAAGGTATTTAAGTCATTATTCAAACCAGAATTCTCTTCCAATTGTATTGTACTACCTGCCCCCATCAAGCAGTTCCTAAGCTTTTTTGTTTTTTTGAGCTTTTCCAAGAATAAAACAAAGCTTCTGGTTTGCATAAAGCTGTCAGCCCGTGCTTTCCTACGATTTCTACTTATTACACAAATATTAAAACTGACAACACTATCGTAAAACTATACAATTTCTTCATTTTATCACCCATAACAAATAAATCAGTCGCCATATCAGACCCCCAGCCGAATCTTTCATTTTTTGCCATCACAATCACACAAATTTTGTGTTGCTATAAATTCAAGACATATTATTATATCCATTAAACATTGCAATACGGAAATATGTAATATACAAATTTAGCATACCGTAAAGTACTCGAATGATAAATGAAACCAAGGATTTCCAAACTAAGACCATGGACAACTCATTAGACAAAGATATAAATTTAATGATGAGCTACCCAACAGTCTGAAGGTCACATATGTTCAAAATAAAATAACGTAATAAACAATAAAGTTTGCAGCACTAAAAATTAGTTTCACTGCAACGATAAAAAAATGTCAGTTCAGTGCTAAATTATTGTATCTGAGTTTTTAAATACATTTGCAGATACAGTTGTCTTGCGATAGTGTGAAAAAATTCATCAGTTATACAGACTGTACGCATAATTAGAAGGTGTTGGTTTCTGGCAATAAATTATCACAAATAAGTAATATAATAAATAACATGCTGCATATTTTTAGCCAACTCAGCAGATTTAAAACCGAGCTTGCAGATTTATTATTCTTTTCACAATTACGTTAATGCGATGTTAATTACAGATAACATTTTCTTACGACCTAAACCATTGTCACTGTCAAAAATATATTTGAAACAAGGATGTAAATAAAGTCGCTATTCAAAAAATGAAAGTAGAAGGTTTTACAGCTCTATCATTTTGTCAAGTTTTTTGTTTTTGCATTCACACGTAAATGGCAAATGGAGTACTAAAATTCAACAAAGTTTATAACTTGTGAACAGTAATTAAGACTTGTTGATTTTCCTGTTTTCCTTATAATTTTAATTTATAATATACTTTATACTTTATATATGCTTTACAATGGTTAATTATAATAGTTGTCTCCCTTTAGTTTTATGTAATACAGTTCCCTCCCTTTAGTTTCACATCAGACTAACTGTTGTCTCCCTTCTTTTTAAAATCAGATAGTTGTCTTCATCCTGTTTAATTTTTAACAGTTGTCTCCCTTCTTGTTAAGCGCATTTTTACAGAAATTTCACGGAGATCTTAAATTCTATCAAGCTTTTGACAAACTATGACAGATTCAATTTTGCACATATGTTTCATTTTCAGTTATGTATATGGATTATAGGCTTTACAGCAGTTATAGTTATTAAAAAAAACCTGTTAAACGGAAGTCGTTTTCAAGTAGGAAACTTTTAAAATAAAAATTAAAAGGGTTAACAACATTTTTTTTCATGCCTGTAGCATATCATCTTTTCTTTATTGCATTGTTCCATCTACGATGAAAAAAAGAAGAGATATGTATACGCATACATACATGAATGTTTTTCATTTATTTTGGAAAACAATAATATCGTAATCAGGAAAACACTGTTGAATGTTATCAAAATTTCATTTCATTGCCAAAAAAACATTCAACCACACATCCTTTATTTCGGTAAATATAAACTTTTTTATCTTTGGGTTGATTAGGTGTAAGGATACGGTATAATCTTTTACCGATTCCAACAATGTAACGGAATATGCCAAATTGATACGTAATAATACAATAATGGCAACCATGATACGATAAATTTGACAGAAATTGTTTCAAGTAGATGAACCCTTACAACCGCGGCTCGTTCTTTGAATTATGCAGTTTCGAAAAACTATTCTCTGGTAAGCGATTATCAAATTTTTGGTAAATAAATCCTGTAGATAAGGTAATTATTCATATGATGCTAACCGTATTGCATTACTGAGAAAGAGAATTCTTCTAAATTATGTAACAGAATTATGCTATAAATTTATCTTACTCAATTATTTTCAATGTAAAAATATCTGACATCTTAAAATATACTGCATGAAGATACAGAGTGAAGTGAAAGTAGGTCTTACCGAATAATTATATAGGAACTCTATCGCTGCGCATGAACAAAACTTAAAAAACACTTAATAGTTTCGGATAGGGAGAAAGTTTCAATGAAATGCACAACTTTAAGGCTAAATTGCAATAATTGTTAATAAAAAAAATATTTATTAAAACTGTTATTCAGAAATTCATAATGGAATTTATTCCAATTAAAGAATTGTCCCTTAATATAATGATCTTTTTATCATGTAATGTATTGAAAAGTTTTCATTTTGTATAACATGTATATCATTTTACTATCTTACAAAAACACATTCAATTCTTTTTATATTAAATCTAAAACATGAGAATTCTGGCTTCTTTTAATCAAGTAGTCATGCTATCTTTCTCCCTGTCTTTAAAATCCTACAATATATGGTTTATTCAAGTGCTATCATTTACAATTAGAACATTTCGAGAAACATCATTAAATCAAATCAAATTAGGACCTTTTATTAATAGCACATAAAATGATCCCTGAGAGATTCAAATACTCCCCATCATCTCCACATGGGCCTAATTTAAAACAAAGACAGGGAGAAATCAGTGGCTATCATCATTAATTTAGGGATCAGTCATTAAATACCCTAGATGACCCCTGCATGCCAAATACCAGTCTGTGCCAATTTTCTCATCAATGAATTTTAAATCTCAAGTAATTCTTGTAAAGAATATTCATCTTACATGCTAACTGAACTTATAATGTCTTTGTTTTCTGATGGCCAATAACTATGCTCACCAGTCAATTATACTTTTATTTAATGGCCAATAACCAATCAATGCTATTGTTTTTGATGGACCTGGATTGACCTGTCAGTCAATGCTAATGTATTTTTTTTAATTCAGTACTGTTATTTAATAACTTATGGCCAGCAAAGGCTTAGTTGCTCTTTTATTGCTAAAGACAAGTAAATACTTTTGTTATTTAATGACAAATGACCAATCTATGCTATTAGCATATGCTATTACCAATCTATGCTATTGTTACTTGATGGCTCATGACCAATTTTTGCAATTGTTACTTGATGTCTGAATACCAACTTATGCTACTGTTACTAGAACTTGGTTGCTTCTGACCAATCTATGCCATTGTTATTAATTGGCTAATGACCGATCTATGCTATTGTTACTAAGTGGCTAATGACCAACCAATGCTATTGTTACTTGATAGCTCACGACCAATCTATGCCATTGTTACCTGTTCTCATGTGACAAGTAAAAGCTATTGTTATTTGATGGATAATGACCAATCAATGTCAACTACAATGCAGTCAATACCATATTTGATGGCCAATAACCAGTAAATGCTATGGTTATGGTTGCTTACAGTCAATGATAATATCTTTGATGGCCATTTACCAATCAAGATTATTGCTTTTTGATGGCCAATAACCATACCTGATATCTATTGACCAACAAGATTGTCATTCATTTAGTACACTCACAAAAAAAACACTGGAATATTTTTAGCCCAAACCAGAAATGTTAATTTAGTGCATTTAGTGGATCTAGGAGAGTCGCGGCATTAACCTATTTTCTGAATGACTCTCCTTTCAAGTGAGTTAATTCCATTTTAACCCATCAGATATATACAACACAAATTACATACAAACTTAAGACCATAAAAAGCAATTTAGTTCAAATGTCTTTGATAAATTACTTGCATAATTGATAATCTTGAAACTAAAATGTATGATATAATATTAAGGGCATTTGTAAAGATTTAGGTTATACATTTCTTTGATTTTTAACAAGATACCAATTTTAACTGATTAAGATAATCAACTATGTCAATTAGAGACTGTATATAACAAACTGAGATACTTTTGGTCTGTGAAAATCTTAATGAGGACCTGACATGTTATTTGGTGTTAATATCTTGATGGTATGTTACAGAATCTTTGACAGTGGAACACTATACATGAACTGTGTTGACAGTGGAACACTATGCATGAACTGTGTTGACAGTGGAACACTATGCATGGACTGTGTTAACAGTGGAACACTATACATGAACTGTGTTGACAGTGGAACACTATACATGAACTGTGTTGGCAGTGGAACACTATGCATGGACTGTGTTAACAGTGGAACACTATGCATGAACTGTGTTGACAGTGGAACACTATACATGAACTGTGTTGGCAGTGGAACACTATGCATGGACTGTGTTAACAGTGGAACACTATACATGAACTGTGTTGACAGTGGAACACTATGCATGAACTGTGTTGACAGTGGAACACTATACATGAACTGTGTTGACAGTGGAACACTAGACATGAACTGTGTTGACAGTGGAACACTATGCATGGACTGTGTTAACAGTGGAACACTATACATGAACTGTGTTGACAGTGGAACACTATACATGGACTGTGTTAACAGTGGAACACTATACAAGAACTGTGTTGACAGTGGAACACTATACATGAACTGTGTTGGCAGTGAACACTATACATGAACTGTGTTGACAGTGGAACATTTTACATGAACAGTGTTTAGACAGTGGAGTACTATACATGAACTGTGTTGGCAGTGAAACACTATGCATGAACTGTGTTGACAGTGGAACACTTTACATGAACTGTGTTGACCGAATGACCATAATTATGACATTGTAATGCTAAATGTTCCAGATGCAAAAATATCTGTCTTTTAAAATATAAGCAACTTTTTATAAACATTTTTTTTTAAAAAAAAATATTGAGGCATTGTGTTCTTATGGTGTTTTTATTTGATGTACAGGCTTGCATTCAATGGGGGTCCAGTATTGGCACACTAAGAGTATACTTAGTCCCTACGTTGTCCATTTTAGTCAGAAAGGGTCTAAATTAGATTATCAGATACTAGTATTATAGTGTATGCTTGAAAGATGAAATCTTTTGTTGCCCTTAATTCATAATGATCATAAAATTGGAATGAATGCCCTAGTTATGTTTCCAGAAATGTTTTTCGCTATCCATTGCCAATCTGACTTTCAACACATCAAATATGTACCTGTACTTTAGATGTGTACTCAAAACTGAATTAAGCAAAATATATCTTTAAAAAATCAATCATGATGTGTAAAGTGTAAAAATAAACAAATAAAGATAGGAAAAAAAATTGTATGATTTTTGTAAAGAGGCTATCTGATTGGCAGAGGCTGCATTTCTATCTGCAATATCACGGCTTTGAGGGTGGTTTCCTAATTGATGCTAGGACCTCCGGTGTTCTGGCTCATTTACAGGTGTGCCATAAGAATCATGAAACTGTGATAATTTCAATGTAATCATTTCAATGGCTGCATTTCACATTGTTTGGCAATTTGTGTCAGTTTAATTATTTGCGGTTGTTGTTGTTTTTCAAACTTGTTTTTTAATTACTGTGGGAAATATCTGTTTAACTATATGATTCTTGATTTTCTTTTCATATCTCTGTAATTTTGGAGCATGTATTTCTTTTATCTCTTTTACAAGATGCAAATGCAAAACTTTCTGGTTTTTGCCAATGTGAACAAAATATAAAGCATAATTGATGTTGTTTTGATGGAGATGTACATTTAAAGCTGCATGTTCCTTCAGGTGAATGAGAAAAAGAAACTTCATTAGACTGGTTTAAGTAATATATCCATACTTACAATCTACATAATAATAATGCTTTTTATGTTTTATGCAAAATATGAGGCAAAATTCACTTTAATTTATTTCACCTTAATTTTATATTGTTATAAAGTTTTGATAATTTATTCAAATGCTTTATGCGTAGCTTAAATAATTCAATATGTTCACTTAATATTAAAAAAAAAAACTTCCTAAAAATTTGCATGAATTTTAAGGACTGGATTTCTGCTTAATTGCTTACCAGTTTATCAACATCTTTATCATTTATGATGGTTGACTATGCCATTTTATTAGAAATCAGTTTAACGCACAAATTCTTTTTATTTGAAATATTTCTTGCTTTGATACTTGTTTACTTATTATATCATGAATATTTTAAACTATAAGAATTAACTATATACATAAGTATTCTTTTTGAATAAATATCAAGCTTTTCAAAGAATCAGGAACAATCAAAAGATAAGCCAATCAAGTAAGCATTTGATTTTAATTTTCTGGTATTTTATTTGTCTGCTTCTGATAAAAGTGCACACTTGCCATTTTACTCAATTAAACTTCCCTTTAGCCTTTTGACCTACAATCCTGCTAATATACATACGCCATAAAAAATAGTTCCTACAGGTTATCAAAATTTGAGTAAGAATATCTCATTATCTGATGCTTAATAAATTTTAAAGTCATTATTAAAGGATCATACAGGCTTATGATTTAATTTAGCTGACATGGCAGGCTGAATTATTACCGTTCATCTCATTTACTTATAAACTGTTCCAAAATTCCGCAAGCAAACCCAAAGCTGAGCATAATAAAATCGTCAAACCAAAATCATCATTTTGCAGTCTTTTCAAATGACGTTAACTTTGCTTTAAATATTTTGATATAAAAGTTAAAGCATGGCAAGGAAAAGGGAATAAGGTTGTTATTAAAATGTAACAAATTACTATACCTGTTTATCTTTGCGTATACTTTCTTTTATGTTCTGTAACTGAGCAATCATCTCCCCAAGTTTCTGTTCCTTGTCCTGTACTGTCTGATCACTGAGCAAATGCTGTATATTTGAGAAAAGTTGCATGTCGGCTGCGGCTTCATGCGTCGTCATCTTTAGACATTTGTCCAAATATTCCTGTTCAGAGGCACTCTCCGGTTTATGTGTATTTAGCCGACGTAGAACACTTTCCATGGATTTTTTGTGCAACCCAAACCCGGGCTTTGTTGAGTTATTGTTTAAATGGAAATTATTTTCAGGATCGGAATCGGAGTCTGAGCTGTTTCGAATGCTCTGTAGAATTCTTTGCTTCTTGTTTTTAGGGCGATCACGTTCTGTACTACTGTCTGAGTCGTGGTTATCAATGCCGTTGAAATTTTCGTGATTTTCAACAATATGTAACGGAGAATGATAATCTAAGTCCTGATCGTAATGGTAATTGTGTTGATTTTGAGGTAAGCTGTTGTAGATTGGTCGTTCATTTACGACGTCGTCTCGAGGCAGTTTGGTTGGCGTATTTTTACGCTTTGAAGACATGCTCCTGAAGATAAAAGAATACATTTTGTCAAGACACATTTTATAAATATCACCATCATATTGTGTTCATTACTACATTTATTAATAGCGAAAAGACTTTCTGATATAAAACAAGCACTGTTAGGTGACTATACTAAATGGTATTCCATGACAGAAAAACATGATTATTTATGCAGAATTCATCATGCATTAACTTCAATCTACCGTTTTTTGTTTGTTTTACGTCATAATACAGTTTTAACAATTCTTTCATGAGAGCTAGATTAACCCTGTTTTTCACTAAAAATCACATAGAAATAAAATATTTCTTCCATGACTTTCTTTGACAGTCATTCATGGTTTTTTAACCAGGAAAATTATTCATGAAACAAAACTGCGGTATGTCAAACAAGCGGTCCATTATTGTCACGGAGAATTGCAGAACTTGATTCATAAAAACTGTAAAATATTGCAAGTCCACAGAATCTACGAGGCTGCAATGTTGATAATCAAAGATTAAAATCTTTCGTAAAATAAAGAACCGATTGTCAGACTATTGTAAATATACGCAGTTTTTCGCAAAACGACTTGCGTAGTTCCTGAGAATCTGTTTGATAAGAAATCATAAAATATTTTAACAAGCAGATCTGCATTTGATAATTTATGGTAGACCCTGTAAACATAGAGGTAATATCTGTTAAACTGTGAATGTTTATTACTTAAATATTTATAATATTCAATGCTGTATGAGCATTTTAATGCCTTTGGAATGGCTGTAAAAAATTTCAATATTTTTACATAACAGATGACTTTATCCACTTGACATATATCTCACTCTTGTATAAACAGTTATACTTTTTTCCCATTTTATTCCAACATTTAATAAAATAATCGTTTATAAAATAAATGTTTATATGCTTTCTGATAAAAAAATAAAATGTTTCCATTTATCACAAATTAATTCTCCGCAAACTCGTGAAATGTGAAATTTGATAGTTATACCTACATGCCAGTTAGTGAAAAGAAGAAGAAAAAAATAATATTACTCTGCAATAGAAGTGCCATATTAAAATAAACTTTAAGGCAACTTTTACAACAAAGCATACCTTTTCAAAAATATTAACAATATTCAACTCCAAAAATAAAGAAATATTTGTTGTTATTAAAATCCAACAACATGTAAAAAAAATCACACGCACCCAATAAAGTTTGATGTCATTTATTAATCTTAATATTTTAATCTTTAAAAAAAACTTTGTTTTTCACTCATTCAAGTAACACAATAATTATAATAATAAATCAAGTATAAATTTTTTTTAACAAAAACTAAGGAAATCATTTTAATTATTGACCATTACTTCCGTTATACTCTGTTCTTTTTAATATTTTTCTGTCCCGGGGCCGTTACTGTTGACGATTGTCACCAGCTCTATCATTGTTGATGCCTTTTGGCTAATTGAAATAATTATGACTAGCATAATAACGGATTTTTCCCCGTTATTCTCATCTAATCTTGTAATAATATGTCGAGCCAGTTGACAAGTATCTGTCATTAATGTTACATTACACAAGTTCAGAAATATGTACCTGTAATTAACAATCAATTAACATTCAATTTCTCATTATAAAATTATTTCGAGACTGACTTCATGTGATGGATTATCCATTCAGGAGATGATATATTTTTGTATCATCAAAGATCAAGAATATTCTGACTAACTTTAACATTATTCATGCATTTTTTATATATATATATATATATTTCTTTTCTTGTATAAAAATTAAACCAGGCCATATTTCAAACCATCATTACTATTAAACCATATAAAAAGCTGTCTCTACATAGTTTATACTATGGTTACTTTGCCCCTTAGGAAAAAAAAAATGTCTTGTTATATATATTATTTAATTGAGCAATGCAAAAAGAAAAAAAAACATACACAAAATACTTGCAACTTTCATTTTCATTCTTATTTTAGTTCTCAAGAAATATGTGTATTTTTAGTTAAAAAATTTCAATTAAAGAATCCTTACCTGAAATGGAATATTTTTTCTAAATTATCATTCCTTTTTTTTCTTTTTATAAATACACAAAATTAACTAAATCATTACTAATATCAATACTCCTATAATTATTTATATATCGATATATAATAAATATATTCCGAATAATGTTAAAACTATTTAACTTCTTTTTTTTTTCTTAAGATTAGAACAGCACATTCATGTCAATGTACCTAAAGAACGAAAAATAGAGAAAAGGATAGAGAAAGAATAGATTCATCTTATTATATGAAAATTTGTATAGATTTATATTCATATACTGGTAATTCATCAAAATGAGTCTAGTCCATCCCCGACACCCCACCCACTCTTATTGTCATTGTATAATGAACCATTTAGGCTATTGTATTTTCAAACTGCGACTACTTTTGTTAAGCTACTGTATTGATTTAATGAAATTTCAATGCATGACTGAAACTTTATAATGCTTATTTCTCACACTGAGTTATTGAGGCCCGTCTTTATACTTTATACATATTCATAAGTTTATGTCACGTATCCCCCCCACCCCACTTTCTTAAACCATGAAAGACGTCCTATTGAAATTTAACTTATTCAAAAGTAAAATCATCTGAGCTTATAATTTTGGTCTTTCTGAAAGTGATTCTGTGCAACGGTTCAACTGCAAATGTGTCACTATCTTGACAACACCCAAGCCGTCCCCTACCACCTAGGAAAGTGAAAACATAACTAGTAGTTTCATTACCATAACTGTTCAACCAGACAACTTTCCTTTTTTTATCGATCTCTTGTTTTCATTTAATGAAATATTAAATATCCAACCAGAAAAACAACAGCTTTACAATATAAGCCTTCTTGATAACGGTTGAAGAAGACCAAAACCAATAGATGTATCAAGTAGAACTCTCCTGTGTTCAAATGTGCTTGTTTGTCTATTAACCTTATATTATTGTGTTAGAAACAATACCATTTCTTTGACATTATAAATAAAAGTACAAAATGGGACTATCAGTGAGGGATAGACGTATATCTTAATCAAATCACTTCCAACCCCTCCTCATAATGATCCGGCATAAACAAGACTTGTAAACAGTCAATATACAAGTGAAAACAAGTGGCAATATTCACAAAAGATGCTCTTTACAAGTCTTCTGAACCATTTCAGGATTTAATCCAATCTTTATATGAAAATAATAATCTCCTTTATTGAAAATAAACCATATGAATTTCAATGAACGATTATGAAAGAGGTCTGTAAATAAAGCTACTTAATTGAAAAAAAGTATTATAATATTATATTGAAATGTGGCATTTGGGTAGAAATTTTATTAAGAGTTATTCCTAGATGCATTTGGCTTTTTCAAATATTTTATACAGCTTACAAAGTATGCAGATAGAATCGCAACAATCAGTGCATTACATTTCAATTGATGTAATGATATTTTTGTAAAATATTGTTTAAAATTAATCAGTTAATTCCAAATATCATTCATTTGGTAAGCAATTTGTTGGATGAATAATATTATTCAGAAATAAATATTAGTTCTTCTGTTTTGTTCCATTATCTGGTCTCAAATTCAGAATTAAAACAATTAATTTAAGATGAATTATGACTGAATAAATGTCTTTTTTTTCAGACTAGATTTTAAGCACCCTTACGTAAACAACAAAGCAATATGTTGACAAATCGTTACTTTAGTGCATTAATGGGCTAACTCCTTTTGAGTTTAATACAAGTTAACTCATTACTGCACTAAAGTAACGATATTACAGTACAAAATCCATACAATTTCTATTCAAGTAAATCATTTTAACAAAACTATTCAGAAACGTATTGTTAACATCCTATTCGAGCTTTAATTTTCCATTTTTGGTTGTGCAATAATACATTCTTGTAAAAACACAGACATACTACTTTAACTGCTTCTAATTTTGTACCAAGATAGAACATTTTCGCGTGAACGAGACAATTTACGTCAGATGGTCTTTTCTTGGTGACAGAAGCAGTCCAAATATCTGTTTTCAATAAAATAAAGAATTGTTTATTCTCGTTCTTCTTCAACATCTTTTGTCATGGTTTTTTACTACCCATCTATTAAAACACAAAAACAAATGTTGACAGAAAATGAAAAATCTGTTTCTGCTATTGCATACAACCTATAATGGGATTTCATTGTCGTACATTCATCAGAACTGGTGAATTATGGGTAGAACAATGCACGACATTTGTATTTTTGATTCGTATTGTGAAGTTCCGTCGAAAGATGCATTTAGATGCGAACCCTTTACAACTGCTTATTGGTAAGTCTTTGTTTGCTGACAGAGTTTTACGCAAACTGATGGGAACAAAATGCTCATTAGTCAATTTGCATTATTTGTTCAATTCTTTATGTAATATTTATTCATCATGGTCCAGACATAATAATTTAAATGTTTTTTTCATTATCAAAATATTTTACAAGTCATTTGACAAATACATTTCTTTTATAAGCTCAAATAATACACGCCATTTACATCACTTCTCAATTATAAATAAAATAGTAGAAAAATATAAAGCTGATTTTTTTTGACAATAAAATATCCTTTTAAAGCATAGAGTTCATTCTTTCATGAATTATTACAGTATTTTCTTCTTCTTTATTTTCATAAAAATGGGATCATTTATATGCAATCATTTATAAAGGTAGAAAGAGAATAAGTAGAGGTCTTATAGCAAAGAAAAGTGGTTATCTTAAGATTGGCGAATTTTTTTTATTCATATTTCAAATGCAACATTTACATGTACAAATGCAACATTTACATGGACCAATGTCACATTTTCATGGACTTATGCTATATTCAAGCAATGTTACATTAACATGGACCAGAGCTACATTTTCATGGACAAAATGCAACAATTATTAATTTGGGTCCATTGCTTAATTTACATGGAGCAATGCTACAATCATGTACTAAAGCTACATTTTCATGGACCACTCCAGCAATTGCATTGACCAACGC